CTGCTACGATTCGTTTTCTTACTACTTTCCAAGCGAATTTTTACTACAAAGTAGGTACTATACCGACTTTAACAAGCTCACGTCCGCCAAAATATGATCGTTCTATTTTACTATTTATCAATGATTAGTAGATTATGCCGTTTGCATTCGGTTTCACCATATATAACGCACTATTGCTTGTTTCTTCAAATGAGTTCTTCCCATTAGTAATTTAATGAAAGCAAGTGTATTATTATTACTCCACTTTTGCTAACTACATCTGTACCATTTTGAAACTCACATAACGTAATTAGAACTGCTTCCCAGTCTCAGTCGCACAACTTGCATCTCTAAAACTATCAAACCTTGTATTAAACCTTGTTCTACATCAACTCTCTTTCTTATCACAACACGCGCACTAGATATTAAAGCAAGTAAACATCATTTAGGAGTACGGGCGGTAGCTTTCGCCTCAATCGCACACAGTCGACGAATCGCTCTCTCAACGAAGGCAAAACGACTCCTACACAGTCTACTCCTCAAGCGTCCACAACGAGGTATGCTGGTACCTCTAGCAGCCGTTTTTTACTCAGGAGAGTGCGTTTTCCAGTCATTTGTCACATGCATGCATGCTCACCACTCTCACGCCATCCAAACTGCATTTCAGCTTTTCTAAGGTCAAGCCTCGCCGTACCGTCGTTACCATAACGCCCAATACAGAGCTAACCGAGCCGAATGGAGGCGACACAATTCAGGAGGCTAGCAAGCGGGAAGGTGTCCCGCTTGCCGTCTGACATCTACCAATTATCGCTTAGATTACTGCCTCATTTATGGATCTCTAATAGGCATTGTACTAAATTCCACTACTCATTGCTACGGGTCTTAATGTTCTTGTCCCAGAAGCTTTTATTGACTTATATGTAAGATTGTTCTAATATATGCAACATTGTCTATCACGTACGATAATGAAATCACTTCCAATGAAAGCTCAGGCTTGATTGTCGAACTTCTGTCTGAACAAAAAAGGATGGTCTTATAATGTCGATGTATTATTGAAAGATACTCTCCAAGCACTTGCCTCATAAAGTCTGCAAGAGTTGATCCCGCTGATGAAATCCGGTCTCTCGATATCAACATTTTTGGTGCCAATAATGTTAACATTTTTTGCTTTCCCGCTAACAATCTCAACATCAGTAGCTCCCATTGCAAGTTGATTGCCGAAATGCGCATGAAAATCATTGATGTTACCTCCCATCATACTCGCGACTTCATCTGGAATTCGTTCGACCTGTAATGAACGAAGATAGTACCATATACATCACATTTCAAAAAAATGTAGATTAGACGTCCATCTGTCCCTGCAATGAAAAAGGCAGCCGATTTCATGGTAGACTCCATGTCAAAAACTGCGGGCAGTAAATCACAGAGCAAATGCATCATGCTTACTGGTATACTAAGATAAGGAGCCCCCATTATCACCGGTAGTTGAGTT